CTTCTCAGGTTGACGATTCTAAGTTGAAGAATGTCCGGATACAAACAAGATTAACCAACAGTTACATTAATTGGAACCCACACAATTAACACAAACATATGTACGATTAATACGTCAAATGTTGTGAATTCAGGCATGACGAACAACCCTTGGAGAACTGCAGGACTTACAGCAGTACGCCTACAACCCTTCTCAGTTTGACGCCCTAGGCTGGAAAATCGTCGCAGGGTTCATTTGCTGATTTCCTTCTATCATCTATATCCTCAACTTTCAGTGGTAACACGCTCATGTCATTGTATCGTAGAATGTAAATGACTAACAAACAGACGACGTATCTGGTCAACCAAGCGTAGGCACAGAGTGATTTACACCAAAGATAATAACATTCGAATAGTAATTTGAAACTTTAAATGCCTTTATTCGTGCAAGTTAGTTTAACAATTGCCCTCTCGTATACCCTTGGCTTATCCTCATCAAACTGACCGATATCTTTCGTCTTTTCAAACGGACTGATACTAGCATAATCATAGCACAAGACACGTGAGTTCATGGACATCCCTTTCATTGTGGATGACAACACCAACGACGACTGATTGATACCAGTTGATGAAATTAGCGGTGGATCAGAAGCTGTTGTTGTTCGGCTTTTAGAAGGTTTTCTAACTGCAAGATTACCACCACTGCTCTCTTTTACTATTAGCTCTGGTTTAGCATTATCATCTGATGATAGGTGGGCTACACGCTGATCACTTACACTGACGGTCTCACAAGTATTCATAATTTCTGCAACCGCATCTACCTTTAATTCTACTTCACGTTCAAGCTGTACAGAACCTTTGTTCAACTCAGCAGTAGTAGGCATTCCGCTCATCTCATCATGATCAACCATAGACAAAAGTGTACTATCATGATCATTATCACAAAAATTCACTTTACCGTCGTCTATCTGGTCAACTTCATCATTTCCAAGCTATTTAATAACAGCAGTAGACAATTTGGGTTCTTCCTCATAAATCCTCACAGGTTCTAGACCTTTACTTTGACTAGTAATACTTTGAAGACTTGTGGAGTCAGAAGTAGACTCTGAAACTGTAACTCCCTTCTTCTGCACAAACTGTGGTATCGTTTGTGACACTCTATTCAACAATGGCTTACCAGTTGCAACTACAGGCTCCTTCACTGCACAATTATCGTCACACGGTTCGGAGTCAGACCTTGATGACGCTGATTTCCCATTTAGCTTACCACTAAACTTGGTCACTTCTTCACAGTTCGCCTTTATATGCACCTCTTGCAAACGTGTGAAGCACAAACGTGTTTGTCTCGCGAATTGTAACCTATCTGTTGGGGATGTCCAACGAAAGCTGTTACACTCACTAAGTATATCTGGATTACCAGACACCATGAATTTGAACTTCGGTGTTTCGACGGAAACCTGCCTGACTACTTACAGTTTGTGTAGGGAATTGTTGGACGCCTGTAAGTATGCCTGTGTTTCAGAACCTCTCTTAGGATGAATGTATGAACAGCACAGTTCTTCCTAGTCTAAAGTCTGCCTGGTTTCCTCGTGTTTGTTCCTCCCGAATACCACTTAATGTATGCATGATTATTGAGCCTAGAACTTTATATACCATAATAGTCAAGCTAATCCTCTTATCACAAGATGCGTTATCGGGTTAGAGTATAACGATTTTTAGTTTTCAGTTGCTGTCATTTCTTGATATCCCACCGCAGTCCAATGACATCATGGAGTACATCCTACTGATTATGAACTGTGGCTAGAAGCTTTAAAAATCCTTTTGGGGATTAGTTATTGATGTCCAGTTTATCGATATTCATATGCCTCATGTGCGTACACCTTTCAACTTGATGTTTCTAGATTTTATGAATAGTAACGCCCTGCCTGTATATTGTTGAAAAAATCTGACTAGAATCAAAGAGCTGTTTGGTGTTCCATTGTTCCCACTGGTAGTCGGTCGTCATCGAGAGTTAAGTACTAACTAGTGTCCATGTACAAGAAGTTATATTTATTGCTTTATGATAGGGGCATCAGGGAAACGGGTAGGAGAAGGCAAATCATAAGTGAAACAATCTTGGGGAAAAATGGCACCATAATTGGCTTTCAGGATAGACGTCTTGAACGCTGGAAAGAACAATTTAACTTGCCTACAGCCACACCGAACCTCCCCGCCATCCAACACACACCCGAATGGGATATAGACACTGGTCCACCGTCTGTAAATGAGGTCACAAAAGCTATCTGTAATTTGAAACGAGGCAAAGCGGCAGGACCCGACGGAATTATTCCGGAGGTGTTTAAATATGGGGGTGACATACTAGTTTGTAGATTAACTAAGGTACTAGGCAAAGTCTGGGAATCACAGACGGTTCCATCAGACTGGGGTAAGTCACTTATTATACCGATATTCAAGAAGGGTAACAAGTCCTCGTGTGATAATCCACTTCTCTGAGACCATTTCGTCATAAATTATTGCGTTTCACTCTCAGACTTCTCTATTCTAGGGGTGGGATGCAACATACTGGCAACTTGCTCATAGCTTGATTGACGCTATCTTTTACCAGTTTCAGAATATCTACGAACTTTGGCTCAATATCTTCATCCGCTACACGAGAGCTTACCTTCACCCACTTCCTTTGCAGTCGAGTAGGTAGGCGTCTCGCTATTACCTCTGGGACTGAACTTGGGTTCAGATCGCTCATGCAATTCATCGAAATCAATGCATCCTTGTAAGTCATCAGATTATCCAAAAACTCAGAGAGTCCCTTGGAGTCATCTTGTAATCGACTACCATTACCTTTACCAGCCTCGAATAATTTACCTACAATCATCAAAGGGCTCCCGAATCTTTGATGCAGTATGCCCATAGCCTCAGAGTGTCCTTCGTTAGGAGGCATCAACTTACAGCACTGTATAGCTCTTGAAGCAACTCCAGTGCAGTACCTCATCAAATACATCAACTTCATTTCATCATTCAATAAAAACTACTCAATATGATTTCAGGCTCCTTTACAAACTGTAAATAGTCAGCTGGGTTTCCGTCGAAACACCGAAGTTCAAATTTAGGCCTATTATCCCTAGACTGCGAAACGTGAACAACAGACTCATCATGCTGAGCATCACACATATCGTTATAATTAACGAGCAACTCAGCATTACTTACTTTCCAGCTTGCTTCTAATAATAATAATAAATAGCTTTCTGTCGGAAATTAGTCAGTGGTCCTCTTCAAACGGACTTAAGCTTAATCCGTCTAAATGTCAGGTAGTCAATTTCACTTTCAGACGTAAATGTGACCTACAGCAACTAGTTAGCTCACATGGCCCCACTCTCATTGACGGCACAGAGGTTGAAAATACATCTTTTGTCAAGTACCTTGGGCTGAGTTTTTCCACCGATCTTTCCTGGTCTTCCCACATCTTGCTAGTTACTAGAAAGATGTTTCGCTTAACGTTCTACATTTGGAAATTTAGGCAGTCTGGTATAAAGCAGTCTTTGCTTTCTCAGTTTGTAAATTCTTGTATTCTACCCATCCTCCTTTACTGCTTCCCATTAGTCTTTCCTGGACTACTTAAGAAAGACTTTGCTTCGCTGAGAAGGGCACTAAAAGCCGTTAGTAGGGCAAGTGGGATATCGTTAAACCAACTGGTGAACACTATTGTAGATAGACATATAATGTCATGTAAGAGACTAGCGAATACAATATTGTCGGACCCCGAGCATCCTCTCTATACGCATCTATCTCCTTGGATTTCATCTGGAAGAATTAGAAGCAGCTATAGGAGGCTATATGCTAGGACTACCAAATACAAAAGCTCCACAATACCATATCTGGCACAGCTGTTATGTGATGAGAAATCCGTTAGGTATGACACGATAAACTTACTGCAGCACTCTAACAAATAGTCTCATTAGTTTTTGTTTTCCTTTCCTCGTTACTACTACACTGTTGTTCTCATCTACTACCACACATCAACTTTATGTTTCAAATCCTGTGGTGCATTGTTTGAAATGAAATACTCTACGCTGTTTGTTTTTTTTCTTAATTTTTAATATTTATTTATTTATAACTTATTTATTTTATTTTTATTTATTTATCTTTGATTTTTAAAAGTCTTATATAATTTATGAGGTAATTAGATGCAATATACTGTAATGCACGCTGAAAATTCCATACCTGTACCGCAAATACTGTTTGGAATAAAGCTGTTATTATTATTATTATTAATAAGGATAAACGTAATATGAGGTATATGGTTTATATTTAAAGATCGGGATGATGCACACCTATGTATCAGATAATAACACAACGGAGTGCTGGGCAGATGATTTACTGAGTGTCTTCATCCTAATCTTTCCACCCAACAATCATATAGTATCATCGAATCACCGTGCACCGTGACGGCAAGCTACCTAGAATGGTGGGCAGATTTCAAACCTGGCTGACAAATTTCACTCTGCACCAAAGAAAGGACTAGACATATCACACTGCTTACTAGCGCCCGATCAAAACTACGCCAATACCTACAGTAGGTGCTGACTTTCATCGTTAACCTGAAGGCCCGTGGTCAGTCACCTAGCCATCTGTCACTCCGTTCTGATGACCGTTTTTGTCCAGTGCCTATTTAGCCAACTATTACTCTCAGTTTAACCACAACTATTTCGAAATATACATTTTATGCTTGCTCTTACTTTCTAACTCTTTCTGGTCTGGCTTGGAGTTTAACACGCAAAAACAACATTCGTTAATGGATTATGTGCACAACCGAATAATTATTCTTGTGGGGCTTTTTACGTTACGTTATACCCGTTTTGACAAGCGGGAGAAAGTAATGATGTCCATCACGCTAACACCACGCTCTCAGGATTCGCTAGCTATGTAACTGATATAAATGGCCACAGGGTGATTAAATTATAATCAAGACGTTTACATTTTCCGGCAAGAAAAACAGTTGATTTATGTCACTATATAAAAGGTTAAGTGGACCAGAGAGGTAGGCGGGTCTTTCCAATAGGACGTTACTCCCCTCCACCTCATCATCTATGGATATATTTCGGAAATATTTAGGTGCTACAGTGGAGTCAGATGAGGTCAATGGGGCTGATATAGTATGTATCAGCAAGATTGTCTTTATTGATATAAGGTTGATAGGCTAGTCGATCGTTATCAGTCGTCAACTCGAATTGAGGATAGGAGGGATGCACTTCGTACACTGAAGGCTCTTTCGAAGGTAAAAATCTGCATAAGAACATTGTATATCTCAGTGTTCAGAAGTACAGGCTAGAAGTGGGTACACAGGCCATGAACATATTTTCATCTGTTTTGAAGAATGATTGGTTTGTTGTGAAAAGTTGACCTACGCATAACTATATATTTATGTTTTAGGGAAGATTCTGATTCTGTTTGTTATGCTTTAGAGGGCCTTTATTCCGTCATGAATGATGGAGAAAATGATCAAGGTATCATGATTCTTCTCTTATGAAGTTTCTTAGTTGAACCTCATGAACTAGTAAACATACCTGCGGATCTTGGTGTGCAGTTTACAGAAATGTACATGAAAAACACCGAAAATTACGACATACTACTGTCTCTATTAGATGTAAGTTACTTAATCAATATATAACATATATAGCTTTATGAATTGTAGTCTTTTGTTAATTTTCTTCGGTGATATTCTGAATAAGTCTAACGGGAATCATTCGAGATTGTTGTTATAACTTGACAGTATATGTCTATGAAGTTATATTTATATATTTATGTGTTTCCTGGAATAAGTAGCATCTCGCTGTTTGTTGAAGTAGGAATAACTGTTGGGTAATTTATACTTAAATGATCCTTAATCCCACTTCTGACCCACTTCGGGAACTATTACACATCTGTTTCACTGACGTATTTGTTAAAAGTCATTTTTAAACCTTGATAGTTATTTTACTCATTGAATTGTCAATTAACTGACTATCGAATTCCACGACTTTTAAAGTTGTGTCAAGTGTTATGAGGTTTCGTAGTCCCAATAGTTTAAAATGGAGAAGATAAATTTGCTTATAGTTGTTTGCATCCTTATATTGTGGGCTTAACTGAGATGCTTCACTGGATTAATTGAAATTGTGTGTAACCATGTGATATGACCAGCTGTTACATTAAAGGTATGGTTTATGAATAAGTGCATGAATTTTCAAGTGATTTTTAAGTTCCATACTCGGTTAAGTCCGAATTTCGTATTGAATAGCCACAAGCCTGTCCACCCACATTTTTCACGGTCACAAACTCTGCCACACATATCTATGATACCTCTTGGTCGATGGATTCAAATTGCTCCTTCAGGTAAAAAATATGGGAATTGTTGGACGCCTGTAAGTATGCCTGTGTTTCAGAACCTCTCTTAGGATGAATGTATGAACAGCACAGTTCTTCCTAGTCTAAAGTCTGCCTGGTTTCCTCGTGTTTGTTCCTCCCGAATACCACTTAATGTATGCATGATTATTGAGCCTAGAACTTTATATACCATAATAGTCAAGCTAATCCTCTTATCACAAGATGCGTTATCGGGTTAGAGTATAACGATTTTTAGTTTTCAGTTGCTGTCATTTCTTGATATCCCACCGCAGTCCAATGACATCATGGAGTACATCCTACTGATTATGAACTGTGGCTAGAAGCTTTAAAAATCCTTTTGGGGATTAGTTATTGATGTCCAGTTTATCGATATTCATATGCCTCATGTGCGTACACCTTTCAACTTGATGTTTCTAGATTTTATGAATAGTAACGCCCTGCCTGTATATTGTTGAAAAAATCTGACTAGAATCAAAGAGCTGTTTGGTGTTCCATTGTTCCCACTGGTAGTCGGTCGTCATCGAGAGTTAAGTACTAACTAGTGTCCATGTACAAGAAGTTATATTTATTGCTTTATGATAGGGGCATCAGGGAAACGGGTAGGAGAAGGCAAATCATAAGTGAAACAATCTTGGGAAAAATGGCACCATAATTGGCTTTCAGGATAGACGTCTTGAACGCTGGAAAGAACAATTTAACTTGCCTACAGCCACACCGAACCTCCCCGCCATCCAACACACACCCGAATGGGATATAGACACTGGTCCACCGTCTGTAAATGAGGTCACAAAAGCTATCTGTAATTTGAAACGAGGCAAAGCGGCAGGACCCGACGGAATTATTCCGGAGGTGTTTAAATATGGGGGTGACATACTAGTTTGTAGATTAACTAAGGTACTAGGCAAAGTCTGGGAATCACAGACGGTTCCATCAGACTGGGGTAAGTCACTTATTATACCGATATTCAAGAAGGGTAACAAGTCCTCGTGTGATAAACGTAGGGGGATCAGCCTAACGAACATAGTTTCTAAAACCCTTGGCTCAGTAATCATGCATAGACTAAGCAGAACTCGGGAGGAACAAACGAGGGAAAATCAAGCAGGCTTTAAACCAGGTAGAGGGTGCATAGATCATATCTTCACTCCGACAGATTCTAGAACATAGACATACTTTTCGGCATCCAACAATTGCCACATTTCTTGACTTGAAGGCGGCCTTCGACTCCGTGGATCGAAAGGTACTATGGCAATGTTTGACTGTGAAGGGAGTGCCAAGAAAGTACATTGCACCGCCTCATCCGAACTGATAGATGCTAGAACTTATTCCGGCGAGCTCCGAATTCAATGAGGAGCGAAAGCTGCACAAAAGGAAACTTACGAAAAGTCCCCTTAAGGACCGTGAACAGTGGTGGGTGACAAAAGCCAAAGACATGGAGAAAGCTTTGAGGATATGCAACACCAGACAACTATTTAGACTCATCAGGGAAACGGGTGGGAGAAGACAAATCATTAGTGAAACAATCTCGGAAAAAAATGGCACTATAATTAGCTCCCAGGATAGACGACTGGATCGTTGGAAAGAGCATTATGAGGAGCAGTTTAATTGGCCCACAGCCACGCTCAACCTTCCGAGCATCCAACACCTCCCTGAATGGGATATAGACACAGGTCCTCCATCCCTAACTGAGGTTACTAAAGCTGTCACCAATCTGAAACAAGGCAAAGCAACAGGACCTGATGGAATGACTCTAGAGGTATTTAAGTATGGTGGAGACAGTTTACTGTCTGCATTAACTGAGGCACTAAGAAGCGTCTGGAAGTCAGAGGAAGTCCCATCGGGTTGGTGTAAGTCACTGATTATCCCCATACACAAGAAGGGAGAGAAGTCTTCCTGTGATAATCACAGAGGGATTAGCTTGACTAATATTGTATCTAAAGTCCTAGGCTCAACAATATTGTGTAGACTAAGTGGTGCTCGGGAGGCACAAACACCAGAGAGCCAGGCAGGCTATAGACCAGGAAGAGGGTGTATTGATCATACCTTCACCCTCCGACAGATTCTAGAACATAGGGATTCCTACCGGCGTCCAACAGTCATTATATTTCTTGACCTAAAGGTAGCATTCGACTCTGTCGATCGAGAAGTTCTCTGGAGATGCTTGGCTGTAAAGGGAATTCTGAGAAAATATATTGCACTGATTAAGGCACTCTACTCGTACTCATACGGCCAGGTGAGGGCTTACGGCGAGCTGTCATCTGAACTGGTGACGACCAGTGGTGTTCGTCAAGGATGCCCATTATCCCCTTTTCTATTCAACTTCATCATAGATGTGTTAATGGACTTAACCCTAAGTGACTTCAGCGACTCAGGGACTGACTTGCTACCAGGGAATAATCTGGTTGACTTGAAATATGCAGACGATATAGTCCTTCTAGGCGACGACTCTGACAAAATGCAGAGTCCTCTAAACACCTTGAGCCGCAGTCTACGAATGTTTGGAATGCGATTCGCTCCCGCCAAATGCAAGATGATGTTACAAGACTGGACTACAGCGACGCCTAGTTTAAAAATAGGAAGTGAAGTGGTAGAGAACGTTGATCGCTTCACTTATTTGGGAAGTACCATCAGCCAGTGCCAACGGGTTGATCTCTGACGAAATCTCAGCACGAATACAAGGGGCTCGTTTCGCATTTGTTAGTTTACGCCGACTCTGGCGTAGACGAGATGTTCGACTATCGACCAAAGGGTGGGTGTACTGCTCATCAGTCCGCTCCATCCTCCTTTATGGTTGTGAGACCTGGCCACTGAGAGTGGAAGACATGAAAAGACTAGCTGTCTTTGATCATAGGTGCCTGCGCTCTATTTCCCGTGTGAAGTGGCATATTAAGGTAAGCAACATTGAGGCTAGGCGTCGAGTTCTAGGTAAACAGGGGAAATCAATCGACGAAGTCGTGAAGTTACAAAGACTGAAATGGTTAGGACATGTGTTACGTATGCCAAGTCATCGCCTTCCTCGACGGGCAATGTTAGCGGATATAGGGTCTGGCTGGAAAAAAGCTAGCGGCGGTCAAACAAAAACTTGGCACCAGTCAATGAAATCCACAACAGTTAGTTTAAGCCACATAGGAAGGTGTAGACTTCCTGACTGGGGTCCTCGGGATGGTAAAAGTCAATGGTTGGAAACAATTGGTGATATGGCTCAAAATCGTTCTCAGTGGCGCAGATGCATCCACTCCTTGTGACTTATGATTTCCAATGAAACTGTTTTGTTCTTCGTTATTACTCTTCCTTTGTCTCATCCCTCTGCTCACTGTTTCTATTATGCTTTTCTTGTACTTTCTTCTCTTGCTTCGCGTGCTACACGGAGTGTGGCGACTTGAAAGGCCACACATTTGTGCAAAGTTCTATGTCGAAAACAGACAGACAGATAGACAGACAGACATTGCACTAATCAAGGCACTCTATTCAAACTCACGTAGTCGTGTAAGGGCTTATGGGGAATTGTCATCTGAATTGATAACAACCAGTGGTGTCCGACAGGGATGTCCACTTTCCCCATTCCTGTTTAACTTCATCATAGAAATGCTAATAGAAGTATCCTTAACTGAACTTAACGACTTAGGAATCGACTTGTTACCAGGGAATAAATAGTCTTATGGACTTAGAATATGCAGATAACATAGTCCTGTTAGGGGAGGATTCTGACAAAATGCAGAGTCTTCTAAACACCTTGAGCAGCAATCTTCGTATGTTTGGCATGCGATTCGCCCCTGAAAAATGTAGGATGCTGCTACAGGACTGGACCACGTCAACTCCTAGCTTAGTGATAGGGAGTGAAGTGATAGAACATGTTGACCACTTCACTTATTTGGGAAGTTGTATCAGCACCAACGTACTGATTGGCGACGAAATATCATCACGGATCCAAAAAGATCGATCTGGTTTCGCTAGCTTGCACCATCTCTGGCGTAGGCGTGACATCCAGCTATCAATCAAGGGACGTGTGTACTGCTCAGCAGTTCGTTCCGTCCTTCTCTATGGCTCTGAAACATGGCCAATACGAGTTGAAGACACGAAATGGTTGACTGTTTTTGATCATAGATGTCTACGATCTCTTTCTCACGTTACGTGGTATAATAAGGTAAGTAATGTTGACGTTAGGCGTAGAGTGTTGGGCAAAGAGGGAAAATCAATCGACGAGGCTATAAAGCTACATAGACTAAGATGGCTAGGTCACGTGCTGTGCATGCGTAACCATCGCCTCCCCCCACGGGCATTACTAGCTGATATAGGTGAAGGTTGGAAAAGAGCCAGTGGTGGCCAAACAAAAACATGGCATCAATCCATGAAATCCTTGGCAGTAAAACTGAGTCAGGGAGGGAGATGCAGACTTCCGGGTTGGGGCCCTCGGGACTCTAGGAATCAATGGCTGGAGACAATAGGTGACATGGCTCAAAATCGTTGTCAATGGCGCAGATGTATTCAATCTCTGTAATCTTTCATATTCCTTTCTACCATTACCCATTCTGTTTCCCTCTTATACTTGTCAAACTCTATTGATTCTCTTCACTCATCTTCTTGTCTACCTTTGTGTGCTATTTGGAATGTGGCAACTCGAACTGGCGCACTTCGGTGACAAGTTCTATGTTGAATCCAGACAGACAGAGGGACATAAATCTATTAATATGACAAGCATTTAAGAAGTAAAGTGTGTCAACTTAAGGAGGATCCACTTTTCTGCTTACTAATACATTTTTGGCGACAGAAGTATTTGTATTTCGTATCCTTTTGTTTCTAGGCTCCTGAAAGCTTTATTCGCAGAAACGCTATGCGACTTCTTACGGTACTATCTATCAATCGTTTGAGGGATACACAAACAGCAATCTTGCAGTGTCGTACTGGTGTTTCAAAACTTGTAGATATTCTTTCAGATACACATGAAGTTTTGCGGAATGATGTGAGTTTTTATTGTATTTTGCTGTTTAGCGAAAAGTATTGCACAGAATCTTAAATTTTGGATGAAAATCACTTCTTTATTGATAATAACAATAATGATTTACTTTATTCCAAAAACAGTACTTGTGATACAGAATGGAATTTTCAGCATTAATCACAATATTGTATCTAATTTCTTCAAATTACAAATAAAATTAATCACAGAAAATTTTCCACATCTACAATAGGGGTAATGTCAGAAACATGCAGTATATAAAATGGAAATAATAATGATAACAGCTAAGGTAACGATAATAACACAAGTGAAAATTCCCGTTGGCTTGTGTCACACAGTATTGGCAATGTGGTGTAGAAATCCTAACATGTTTAAAAATATTGAATATAATGTTCTTTCTACATGATATGGTGAAGGAAAAAACATAGATTACAGCCGTGATGGAGATAAGTTGGTGTTTGCAATTATGAGAGTAAAACAGAGAATTAACAGGACCATAAATATAATAGAAGTAATAAAAGTAAAACTTGAAGGTATGTAAGGATGGATGGAGGAAATTGTTTATTCACTAGATGAAAGAAGGTTAGTTAATTCTTGCCTGACACTATTTTCATCACATAAAATACATGCCAAGTATGGTATCATAGACTTCTTATACTTAGACGTGCGAGCATACAGTTTTCTGAAGTTACTTCTTGTTCTACCTGAGGAGATGCAAGGTGAAAGCTGAGGGTAAAGTGGATGCTCCAAGTCATATAAAATCCCTTTAACAAATTTACTGCACGAAGTCAAATGCCTATCGACATCGACGTTAATTATGTGGTCCACTGACAGTCTTCAGCATTCTACGAGTTGTGACATAGTCCTTTTTAAGCAAACCAGGAAAGAATAAGAGTGAACAATAAAGAAGAATAGGTAGGATGCAAGAGTCTATGAACTGTAAGAGGAGGGGTCGAGTTATACCCGAGTACCTTAACTTCTTAATGTAAAATGTCAGGCGGAATAGTTTACTCGAGATCTCTAAGACATGGGAAGACCAGGAGAGATTAGAAGAAAGAATAAGTCCAAGATACTTAATTTCTGATTTAATTCCTATATCATTGTCATTAATCGTACGACTGTCATGAGAATCAACGGCTTCTTTTAACTGTCTTTTAGATCTTATGCACTACCTGCTCCTGTCATTCACTGCAGACAATTTGCAGTCTGTTTCGAAGTACTTTGCTGTGTTTAATATTAATATGTGATGCCTATTGCTTAATTTTGAAATGTGGTATTCAAAACACATTAACTGTCTCTTCTGTTTCTTGTTTTACCTAAGGTTATTCTTCTTTTAACCGAACTTACGAAATCAAACACGAATATTCAAAAAATCGTAGTCTTCGAGAATGCTTTTGATCGACTCCTGAAAATTATTTATTCTGAGGGTTTATGTGATGGAGGTGTAGTGGTCGAAGATTGTCTCCGATTGTTGCTTCAGTTGTTAGATGGTAATCCATCTAATCAGGTCTTTTTTCGAGAAGGGAATTTCATTCAACGTCTTTCGCCTCTGTTTGACTTATATTCAAGTGAAAACATACAAACACAATGTTGGTCTACTCAAAAAATTGTTAACGCGGAAGTTGCTATGCAAGTGAGTTTCATATCAGTTTAAATATTACTATTATTGCTCCCTTGGGTTCCTAGTGGAACATAGGGCTTCAACTGCACGTCACCACTTGCTTCTGTCTTCTGCTGTACTTTTCACCTGCATCCATGTTATTCCATAGTGTTTCAATTCCTCTTCACACGATCTCCTCCATGTCACCCACCCTTGGACATCCCACTCGCTGCTTCCCTTTCAGGTTCCACTTGAGCAATGGCCTGACGCGCGCGCGATGTCACCCAGTGGCCTCCAGCCTCATCGAGTGTCCGATCCATCTCCACTTTCTCCTGAATATTTGTTGGGCGATTGGTTCTTGTTTTGTTTGTTCCCATAGTTTCTTGTTGGTGATTGTTTCCGACCCGGCCATCTGATCTTCAGTATAGAGTCAGCGAAGACAGTTGTTGATGAAGGTCTGCAACAGGCTGTTGGAAATATTCTTTGTGACCCACCCGCCAAGTTTCTGAACCAATCCGTATAGGAGAACTGACTGACTTGACGTTTGTATTGAAAATCCGACTGGATTTTGTTGTTGATGGTGGCTGAGTGATGAAGATTTCCAGATTGTTTGTTTCAGGTTGATGAATGTGTTTCTCGCCCGCCACCCGATTCTCGCTCGATTTGACATCCTGGTCCGTTCCGACTGCCTGTAATTGAGACAATGCTTCCTAGATAAGTGAATGAAGTAACCTCTTTCAAATCCCTCTCGTTGATGGTGATTGACGCTGGATGTTGCTACTGTTGTTGGTTGGTTGGTTATTTTCATAACCTCCGTCTTGTCTATGTTCACCTGGAGTCCTGTCTTCGCCAGCTGCTTCTTTGACCAGTTTGTCGGTTTTCGCTTGTAAGTCTTCGACTTTGTGTGACATCAAACATAAATCATCCACGCGCGAAATCCAGGTCTTCTAGGTTCTTCACGTCGGTCCAGGATATCCCTGTCTTCTCGTTTCCCACTGTCTGACGCATAATCCAGTCCACCACAATTAGGAATATCATTGTGGTGATAATAAGCACCCTTGTCTGACTCCTGTGTTTACTCCAAACGCCTCGCTGAGTTTTCCGTTGTGGATCACTTGACATGTGGCGTTGTCGTACAGCTGTTGAATAAGGTTGATGAATATTTGGGGTACGCCGTAGTACTCGAGTAGTTTCCAAATTACTTCGCGGTCAACGCTAGCTGTCGAAGGCCTTCTCAAAGTCTATAAAGTTGAGGTAGAGGTTTGATTGCCATTCCATGCTTTGTTCTGTGATGATGATGCGTAGAGTTGCAATTTGGTCAGAACATGATTTGCCTTTCCTGAATCCAGCTTGTTCTGGTCGGAGTTCTGTACCCAGTGCGTCCTTTATCATCTCCAGGATGATGCGACTCAGGATTTTACTTGGCGTCGACAGGAGCATGATTCCTCGCCAGTTCTTGCAGAGTGGGTAACCCTTCTTTGGTAGTTTCACGAGGTAACCTTTCCTCCAGTCAGTAGGCACCTTTCCCTCCTTCCAGACCTTTTGCAATAATGGAGTCAGCATGTCTGCTGTAGTCTCTGGGTTTGCTTTCAGTGCTTCAGGGGGTATTCCATCTGGTCCAGCTGCTTTTCCAGCTTTCAGAAGCTTGATTGCATTCAAGACTTCAGCTCTCGTTGGAGGATTGGTGTCAACTTGCAGTTGTGTACGCGCTGTTGTTGGTATTTCTGGACGGGTTGCAGGTGGTGGTCGGTTCAAGAGTCCTTTGAAGTGATCCGCCCATTGTTTAATCTGTTTTTCTTCCTTGGTAATTGGGTTCCCTTGGCTGTCTTTTATAGGTTTCGCTTGTGTTGATCTCTTCCCGGATAGAGATTTGGTTATCTGATATAGTGTCCTCAGGTCCCTTTTGCCTGCTGCCTTCTCAGCTTCAGTGGCCAGATTGTCGTAGAATCGTCTTTTGTCCTTCCTAGCACTCTTCTTCACTTCTTTGTCCAGTGCTGTGTGTAAGTTGAGCTCATCGTCTCCTTCTCCTGTCCGTCCTTGCATTGAATCATTTTCTCTTTCACCATTCTCCTCTCCTCTATTAATTTCCAAGTGTCCGTTGAGAGCCATTCCTTGTCTTGTCTCTTCTTTCTTCCTAGAACCGTTGAACACGTTTCGTTGAGAATCGCCTTCAGAGACTTCCAATGTTCTTCCACGCATGATTCTTCAGTGATGTCGCGTAGTGTTTCCTGCTTTGCTCTGACAGTTGCAGTGAAAGTGTCTTTTGTGGTTGTGTCCTTCAGTAATTGAGTGTTGAACTTGCATTGTGGCCTATCCCCAGCTATCCTCGAGGCTTTTAGCTTCACCTTGAAAGTCCCTTGTACTAGATAGTGGTCTGAACCCACATCTGCTCCTCTCCACGACCTTGTGTCCAGTAGGCTCCGTCTCCACTTTCTTGAAATTGAGATGAAGTCTATTTGGTTCTTGGTGTTTCCATCTGGTGAAATCCATGTCGTCTTGTGTATATCCTTGTGTTTGAACACACTACCGCCAATCACCAAATCATTGAAGGCGCAGAAGTCTGAGAAGAGTTCACCATTGTCGTTCATTTCGCCAAGGGCCTCACGACCCATGGTGAGTTCTCTTCCTGTGTTGTCTCGTCCCAGCTTCGCATTCATGTCGCCCATCAGGATTTTGATATCGCCATTTGGGACGTTGTCCATTATTGCTTGTAGTTGTCTGTAGAACACCTCCTTCTTCTCTTCTTCTGAGACGTTTGTAGGCGCATAGCATTGATATCAGCTTAAATAACAATAATAGTAATATTAATGTAATAGTAGAAATTGAGCACTGGTAAAATGTATTTCTATATTAGATAAGTCTACTCGACAAAACATAAATTGTTGCAGTATTAAGAACTGAACGACCTTTGAAGCACAATTTATTGCTTATAGTCATATCAATAAACTTATCTAATATGGAATAATGGCAATAATAAAAGTAATAGAGGTAATTTATTGTCTCCTTAAAATCCATTTTATGCCATAACTTTAAAGAGGCAGTTGGAAACTTTCTACTTGTTGAGTAACAGGGCGTTATCAGTCGTTTATGCACTACTGGAAGCATTTAGACCAACACAGTCTGCTTTGCGGCATTCTAAATATTTTTTTATTTAGCGTTGCGTAACTGTTTTCAACCCTGTTGTTGGCGCCAGGAATCTGCATTTAACTGATCTCTTAAGACGACTCTAAACTATGCTCTAGAATTTTCACTGTACACTCATTGTTAAATTAACTGATGAGCCTCATTAGCGTAAACTCTGACCTCCCGGGGTATATGTATGAGGCTGTTGCCGTGAAGAGAATGGCGAAAAAATACATCACACTGATTAACGCAATCTACTCGAACTCATGCAGCCTAGTAAGAGCTTACGGAGAGTTGTCATCTGAAGCGATGACAACCAATGGTTTCCATCAGGGGTGCCCACTGTCCCCATTAACCTTAACTGACTTCAGCGACTCATGGATTGACGTATTACGAGGCAATAACCTCGTTGACTTAGAATATGCGGATGATATAGTCCTCTCTGCTAGGTGAAGACGCTGAAAAAATGTAGTCTTCTAAACACCCTGACAGGCAGCAATCTGCGAATGTTTGGCATTCGATTCGCTCATGCTGTGAAGTGTCAGATGATGCTACAGAACTGGACTGGACTGGACCACATCAACTCCAAGTTTAAAGATAGAGATTGAAATGGTGGTTGAGAGTGTTGACCACTTAACTTATTTTGTGGGAAGTTGCATCAGTCAGTTCCAGTGGATTGATAGCTGACGAAGTCTCAGCATGGCGGATACAGAAGGCTCGTTCGGGATATGCCAGTGTAAGCCATCTCTGACGTAGACGTGATATCCGTCTGGCTGTCGACCACAGGGCGTGTGTATTGCTCAGCAGTTCTCTCTGTGCTCCTCTATGGCTAGCTGTGAGACATGGCTATCGAAAGTGGAAGACATGAAAAGGCCGACTAGCTGTCTTCAATCATAGGTGTCGGCGTTCTCTCCCCAGTGTTAGGCGGTACAATACGGTGAGTGATATTGCGGTTAGGCGTCGAGTGTTAGTTAAGGAGGGAAAATCAATCAGTAAGATTGTGAAGTTACTCGATTGAGGTGGTTAGGACATGTATTACGCATACGCCGAACCATCGCCTTCATCGACGGGTAATGTTGGCTAGCTGACATATGATGGATCAGGTTGGAAAAAAGCTAGTGGTGGTCAAACGAAAACTTGGCCTCAGTCAATGAGATCCATAACAGTTAGTTGAAACCAGCCAGCCAACCATGTAGGGAGCAGTAGACTTGCTACCTGGTTGAGGCCCTCAGAATGGTAAGAACCAATGACTGGAGACAATTTGTGATATGGTTCAAAATCTTCGTTGTCAATGTTGGCGCAGATGCATTTACTTTTTGTGATTTGTCGCATCCAATAAAATCCTGCTGTTCTTCCATATTACTATTCTTTTTCGTTCACGTATCTGTTTATTATCTTTTTTGCATATGTCTTTCTTGTCTTCTCTTGCTTTGTCTGCTAATTGAAGAGTGGCAACTCGAACTGTTGCACATGTGTGCAGATTACACATGTGACATTCTATGTGACCTACTCAAACGGGTCCCTTTCCTACTTTCATTTTTGTGATTCATTTAGTCGCTGATATATACAGGAAAGTGCAACTTCACTGGTCAAGCCAATCAAGCTGGAAGTTTGTGATCGACTTTTAAGACGGATCAATTGTGATTAATAAATCACACATTGAATGACCGTTTTCCACTGAATGATTTATTTTAATGATAAGCAGTTTTTTATCCTTCGCTAACTGCATCTTATTTACGATTTCATTTCGGTAGTAAAAGTAACTTGTTTTCTTTTGATTTTAGTTTCTTTGAATCTATTCATTCTAGTTATTGAGTTAATATGTGACAGTGAACAATATATTTGAAATTGTTTAATAGGTTGTGCAAACCTTAGTTTCACCTTGTAACAAGACTCAATTAACACGAACCTGCCAGAGTGTGATGTATGATTGTGGTCTTCTTGGAAAGTTGTGCAATGTTGTCATGGTCAATGGTGTTCCAGTGGATGTTTTGACTAAGGCAATTTATGCTTTAGCCGACTCAATACGCGGATACCCTCAAAGTCAGGAGTTCCTGGCGAAATTGGTTGCACCTGCAGATCCACCTCAATCTGCTGTTAATGTACTGCTCATATCTATGGTGAACAGACATCAATCCGTATTGGTGCGTGTGGCTGTATTGTACTGCTTCCAGTGTTATCTTTCTTCTAATCATCAGGCTCAGAAGGGCATTGTTATGACCTTACTACCTAAACCTGGCGATGGTATGTTTAGTAAACCTTTTAGATACCTAAGTTTACTCGTTTTTAAGTAGGTATTTATGAAAGTGTTGCATTTATTTAAAAAATGATACTTGTATATATTTCTGTTTTTTGAAACTAAGTAATATTCGTCACTCACATGCCTGGTTATCTTCAGTTCCGATAATAAGCACCTATAAGCTCTTACGAAACTGAGTATCAATCCTTAAAATTTGATGTATGTTTCTATCATTTAGATGATGGAGTTAGACATTCCCTCGTGTTAAATAAGAAAAGCATCATTCAGTGTGAATCAGAATTTCGGTTTCTGAGTTTGACAAAGTTCGAAGATGTTGATCTCAGATAAAATTATTCGTGTTCATTTGTCATCCATTCTATCACAGTCAAGTATTAGAAAGTTATGAATCTTTTTATCCTAAGGATTATGTTAACCAGACTGATTCAGTCGTAATTGTAACAAAGGATTTCTATCTTTTTATAAGCTTAACAGACCGACATCTAGAACTAGCGGTAGTCGAATGTCTGGTTTACACAGGTATCTGATAAATGTAGTGTGGATGATTCAGGTATTAGTTTGTAGGGATTTGATTGATTAGTTATAGGATTTCATCATTAGTTGACATCGGTTAGTGAGCCATTAGAAAACATGGGAGTACTGGACAGCTGTTTCATCCTAGTGTGGGACTCTTCACAGTGTGGATTATTTGTATATTGGGACTATTATTTCCATAGCATGAAAAATATGGAGGTTGTTACTAGCTTTTTACGTCAACATTGAAAATGTATATGTTTTCTGAATGTTTTCACTCGTACATTTATCTGTATTACCCGTGTTTATACTTAAATCACACTTATACCGTATTAATTCCATCCGTTTTTAGTTGTACAAAATGTTGTTAGTGCTGGTCAATTACTGTGTGGTGGATTATTTGCCAATGATTCATCAACTTGGTTCTCCGCTATAGCACTTCTTCATTGTATCCATGACAATGTTCAACTCAAAGAGGAACTATTACGCGTACATTTAACTCCTAGTGAAGGAGCCGCTCCTGTAACTCTTTTTCATCAATGCTTCATTTGGCAACAACAGGTGAGTAATAAACAATGATGTTTAATTCTGTTATTCGCGTATTTCATTTTAAAAGAATGGTTAATGAACAAAGAATATTTTTTTCGATAACTTCATCATCAGGTTCTACAGTTATATATACATAATTGTGAGTGAATTAGTGTTATTAACAATATTGATGTTGTTTAAATAACATCGAATCAGTAATATCAATAGGTTACAGTTCAGTAGCATCAACATAACAATAAACTGAATCGGTAACAGGATTTCATGATGAGGTGACATTGGTTGGAGAACCATTGAAAAAACCTGGGAGTACTGGACAGCCGCTTCGTCCTAGTTTGGAACTCTTCATCAGTACACACCCATCGGGATTCGAACCCAGAACCTCCTGGTTATAAGGCGAGCTAGCTCGTAGACTATTAAGCCACTGGGACCCGATCCAATGGCCCATGAATTCTAAATTCTGTCAATTCACGACTTCCCACTAGAAACCCAGGCAACTGCACCCTACTAGTGCAGCGGGTCGGATGTGAGGACAAATACTCGCCGAAGACATTGGCTAACGGTTGCGCTATGTCGTGAATTGGCAGAAGTTAGAATTCATGGGCCATTGGATTGGGTCCCAGTGGCTTAATAGTCTACGAGCTAGCTCGCCTTGTAACCACAAGGTCCTGGGTTCGAACCCCAGTGGGTGTGTACTGTTGAAGAGTCCCAAACTAGGACGAAACGGCTGTCCAGTACTCCCAGGTTTTTTCAATGGTCCTCCAACCAATGTCAGCTCATGATGAATCCTGTAACCAGTCAACCAAATCCCTACAAACCAATACTTGAATAAACTGAATGTCAGAAAAATTAGGAAAGATAATAATATAAATTCATGAATTTATTGTCTCCACTGAATGCCAGGTAGTAGTGGCTGGACTTGCTTCTTTAGTACACTGGTTGTTTCACACGAATCACGATAGCCCCTGCTGTTTGGAGCATGCGATACCTTGGTGTTTTTGGCAGTTTATTTGGTACCCGGTGGATAATTGAGAAGGATTCTTCAATGCTGGCTTTGTGGCCGGTTTGGTAGTCTAATACTGAATTGCTGATGGTCTTTACTAGACCTTTACTTAGCCATAGTGGGAGATGTTCTCAAGCACGAAAAATCAATTACCTAGAGCAACAGCCAATATAACTCGCTCCAAAAGTTCAGTTGAATTGGTAGATACAATTGGAAGTGGCTAGTCTAGGTACTTCATCTTCCAGTCGAGGAATCACCATCGGTCGCGTAGAAAACATGACTTGTAGTTTACCAGCATTAAAATTTCTTCGAATAAATTTTCGTAACTAGGTGTGTCATCCATGAATTACAGTCGTATATATAAAAGCTTCTTATTTACAGATGGAGAATAGTCCTTTTCCGCTTTCTTGGTCATATGTTTCTTGATGAATTTGTCTGGATAGCTGTTCCCAATCAAGGTATCATATGCAACCCTTAGTTCATCTTAAATTACCTCTTCTGAGTATATCTCTCTGACCCTGTGGCCGAGGGTCCTTACTAAATATCTTTTGTGCTGGAGAGGAACGAAGCTATAAGAATGTGTATCTCGTCGTCTCCATACGCTCTACCTATGCAAATTTCTCTTTATACTACCATCTGGTTTTCTTGTGAGAAGGACATCTAAGAAGACAATTCTATTTTGGAATTCCTCTTCGCACGTGAATTTGGTAGTAGAATGTACTTCATTGAATTGTGTTTCTATCCAAATCATTATCTCAAAGAATAAAGGTGTCATCCATATACCGGAAATATAAAGAGAATTTTCTGATAAGGTTGTTCAGAGGTCCATTTTCAAGTTTACGTAGAAAGAAATCTGCCAAGATAGGACCCAGTGGGGAGCCCATCTCCACTCCATCTACTTGTCTGTAAAGCGTGCCATTGAATTTGAAGTTTACATTCATGGTGCACCTTAATAACAATTCCTTTAGGATTTCCGTTTGGATACCAATAATTATCGACTGGTTATACATTTGTTCACATATATAGTTAACTGTTTCTACTAGGGGTACATTTGTGAATAAAGATGTTATGTCCAGAGATATCATGGTTTTGTCCTTGATATTAATATCTTTGATTTTGTCTACGAATTCAAACACATCTTTGACGCTATATTTCACTATCTTCTCATGTAAAGGTTTGAGAATATTCACTAACCATCTAGCTAGAGCATGGTAGGGCGAATTTCGCATATAAAGTAATTGGTCTTAACGGTACTCCCGGTTTATGTACTATAGGTAGGTCACACAATCTTGGCGTGTACGAGCCCGTTGGCCTAATTTCTTTATGTAAACTTTCAGAAAATATCTGCTCCTCCCTTAGTTTCTTTAAAAGTCTGGTCAATTCGTTCTCTAGTTTGTTATTGAAATCTACTTTCTTAAGTTTTTGAAGCTTCGGTGGGTCTTTCAATATATCATTCATCTTCTTAATATAGTCACTTCTATCGAGGACTACTCCTGATCCCTTATCAGGCTTTTTGATTTTCAGTATTTCGTCATTTATCAGTTCCTTTAGTTCTTCTCTATGCTCCTTTGTCAAGAAACTTTCACTGTTGTATTTCATGTTTTTGTACTGATAACAACAATCCACTAGACTGAATTTGAAGCGTTCTAGTTCCAGGATGGATGATGAATCATAGTCAGTATTTTGTTTCTAGCAGTGTGTATTTTAATATTACCACTTCTTGTAATATTTTTGCTTCTCTAAAGTGTGGTTATAAAATTCTTCCTTGAGAAAAACCTAATTACTTCCACCATATTTTATTCAGTTAATGATATTGATTTCATCTGAAAGAAAAACACAAATGTTTTAAAAAATGAACATTATAAATTTTTTTACTCAGAAAACTTCATATTTGAACAACACTCATTAAATTTAATGATGTAGCGAATAATTAAAAAAAGAGGTTGAAATACAACACTAACACCAGCGTGAAATTAGGAATATATGTAGGGCTAGAGAATTTTCCATTGTTGCAAAAATGGTAGGAATAGAATAAATTGTTTAGATTCCATTATAGATAAGATTTCATTTTGATAAATCGCACAGTGTTTACAGTTATATGAACTGATCACCTGGCTCCAAGTCTGCCCACATGCTTTCATCTCCTCCTCACATGACGTCCTCCAAGTCACCCTTGCACTGACGACCGACTCGCCGCTTCCCTTTCGGGTTCCACTCGAGCAATGGCTTGTCTAGTGATGTCACTTTATGGTCTTCTCAGCGTATGGCCAATCCATCTCCATTTCTTCCTGCCTATTTGTTTCACAATCGGTTCCTGGTTGGTTCGCTCATTGCCAGAGATCCCTGTTGCTGATCTTTTCTGACTGGTCACCTGATCTTCAGTATTGAGCGAAGACAACTGTTAATGAAGGTGTGAAGTTTGTTGGAGGTACTCTCTATGACGCGCAGTGCAAGTCTCTGATCCGTATAATGAGTAGCACTGACTTCACATTGGAGTTGAAAATCCGGATCTTATATTTGATGGTGAGTGCTGTTGACCTCCACACAGACTTGAGAGTAATGAAAGCTTGACTTGGTTTTCCGATTCTGGTTTTGATATCCTCGTCACTTCCGCCTGTAGTTGAAACGGTGCCTCCCAGGTAGGTAGGTAAATGAGGTTGTTTCTTTCAGGTTCCTCCCATTTATGCTGGCTGATTGTTGTCTGTTGTTGTTGCTGTTGCTGTTGGCCAGGAATCTTTATCACCTCTGTCTTATCTATGTTCACCTGAAGTCCTATCTTTGATGCTTCTTCGGACAACTTGTTGCTTTTCACTTGCATATCTTCCAGTCTGTGGGAAATCAGACATATATCATCGGCGAAGTCCAGATCCTCCAAGTCTCTCTTTGTGTGAGTCCATTTTATGCCTGTTTCCTCATTGCCCGCTGTTTGTCACATTATGCAATCTACTGCAATCAGGAAGATCATTGGCGATAGTAGACAGCCAGCTTGTCTTACTCCCCTGTTCACTTCGAAGGATTCCGTAAGTTTCCCGTTGTGGATTACTTGACATGCAGCATTGTCGTACAACTGTTGGATGAGATGTATAATTGTCGATGGGACCCCGTAGTTGCGAAGTAGTTGCCAAATGACCACTCGATCGACACTGTTGAAGGCCTTTTCAAAGTCGATGAAGTTGAGATAGAGAGGTGACTGACTGCCATTCCATGCTCTGTTCAATGATGATCCGTAGAGTGGCGATTTGATCAATACATGACTTGTTTCTCCTGAATCCAGCCTGTTCCGGTCGAAGTTATTCATCCAGGTTGGTGTGTTTGATTCTCTCCAGGATGATGCGGCTTAGTATTTTGCTTGAGATGGACAGGAGCATAATTCCACGCCAGTTTTTGCATTGACTGAAGTCTCCTTTCTTTGGTGGTTTGAATAAGTATCCTTTCTTCCAATCCTCAGGTACTTTGCATTCTTTCCACATCTTCTCCAGCAGTGGGGTCATCAAGTCCGCTGTTGTCCCTGGGTCCATTTTCAAAGCTTCTGCTGGTATTCCATCTGGTCCTGCTGCTCTTCCAGCTTTTAGCATCTTGATTGCATTCAGGACTTCTGATTTTGTCGGGGGGTCGAAGTTCACTGGCAGTTCTCCTTCCGTTGTTGGTATTGTTGGGCGCGTTGTAGGTGGCGGTCGATTTAGTAGTCTTTTGAAGTTTTCAGCCCAGTGTTTTCTTTGCTCCACCTCTTTGGTAATTGACTTTCCATTCGTCATCCTTTACTGGCTTAATCTGTGTCGAACTTTTGCCCGATAGGTGCCTGCAGCCTGTTCTGCTTCACTTGACATGGCTTCATAATATTTTATTTTGTCTTCCCTGGCACTCTTCTTCACTCTTTTGTTCAGCGTGTTGTAGCTTGCATTCAACTCCTGTTTTTGTTGCTCGTCGGTGCACTGGATAATCTTTTGTTTCACTATCGTTCTCTCTTCTGTTAGTTTCCAGGTGTCCGTAGTGAGCCACTGTTTGTCCTGCCTCTTCTTTCTGCCTAGAACTTCTATGCAGGTTTGACTCCACACCGTTTTCAAGTTGTCCCAGTGCTTTAAGACGCCGACCTCTTCGCTAGTGTTGATTTGTGTCTCGGCTTTGTCCTTTATGCTTGCAATGAAGATGTCCTTTGTATCCTGGTCCTTCAGCTTTTGAGTGTTGAACTTGGCTTGTGGTTTGTCTGCAGCTCCTCCTTCTCTAAAAGCTTTTAGTTTGATTTGGATTGTCCCTTGTACGAGATAGTGGTCTGAACCAACGTCTGCTCCTCTTCTTACATTTGTGTCCAGTAGGCTGCGCCTCCACTTCCTTAAGATTGAGATGAAGTCAATTTGGTTTTTGGTTTGCCCATCTAGTGACACCCATGCAGCCTTGTGGATATCTTTGTGTTTGTATACGCTCCAATCAATCACTAGTTGGTTGAAGGCGCAGAAGTCGGCGAAGAGTTCTCCATTTTCATTGATTCCTCCGAGAGCTTCTCTACCCATGATGAGTTCTCTTCCAGTGTTGTCTGGTCCCAGTTTGGCGTTCATGTCTCCTATTAGTATTTTAATGTCAGCAGCTGGAGTATTGTCCATTGTTGCCTGTAATTGTCTGTAGAATTCTTCTTTCTTTTCGAGGTCTGCGTTGTTTGTAGGTGCATAACATTGTATAATTGACACTTTCCTTCCTTTTGAGTTGAATCTGGCGGTCATTATCCTGGACGAGATAGCCTCCCATTGCATCAGGGCCTTTGTTGCCGTTGATGACATCATAATAGCCACGCCCTCGGTGTGTGTGTGGTTATCTTCTGGGTGACCGGAGTAGATCACTGACTCACCTTTTGAGAATTTGGTGAGTCCATTCCAGTTCCATCTACTTTCACATATTCCCAGTACTTGGATTCCGTATCTTTTCATCTCGTTTGCGATCTGGGCAGCTTTTCCAATCTCGTACATGGTCGGACGTTCCATGTCCCTACACAGACTTTTTCTTTTGGCGCAAAGAGATTCATCGTGCTGAAGTTTCTGTAGCAACTTTGGTTACAGGGTGGGGTTGCTAGCCTCACTTCTGAGAAGGAAATGTTACATTAAGATTAAGTTTAGAGAGAAGCGACCTTTTGGGTCGCTCCCCTTAAAATCGGAAAACAAGGGATAAAACAATCAGAACAACACCAGCAAAAGGAAAATCATTCACAGCAAAAAGGGCAAAAAGCGACAACAAAAAAACAATACAACTATATGTAATACAGTTAAGCACAATTAACTAAAATGATACCAAAACCATAGACTCACTGATTTGGGCCAACTTGAACATATAGATCCAACAATATATACAATTACTGATATGAGTTATTGTTAAAAGGGCGCAAAGTGTCAAACGGTTTGTTATAGGTATCAGTAGTCAACAATATATCCACAGTTTAAGTGTTCGAAAGTAAACGGATCGCAATAATTTCCAGAACTTCGTGGTGAGCAACAACAAAGAAATGAGAGTTTTATATATCTAAGCAAAAAGTAACGCACTAATATGTGTTAATCTGCAAGATAAATGGTGTGTAAAAACTACCGACACTGGGGTGCCATCACACTTATTATTTCTCATTATTTATTTCAGTATGAAGAATGGAGCTGAAAAAATAATTTAATCAAAAGATATTACCTTACCTGATCTTACTTTGCATGCTCAGCTATGCATTATGATTTATACTATCATTCCCTAGGGTTTCGAGTGGAACATAGGGCTTCAATAGCATAGTTCTATTTAACTCTGTTTTTCACAGTTCTGTTTAACTGGCTCCACAATTGCCCATAGGCTCTCATCTCTTCTACACACGACCTCCTTCGTGTCATCCTGGTAAGCCCAACTCATCGCTTCCCATTTGGGTTCCACTCTGTGACCTGGAGCGCTATGTCACCCAACGGTCTCTTTAGCATGTGTCCTATTCTTCTCCATTTTCTTCTATATATTTGTTGAGCAATAGGTTCTTGCTGGTCCGTTCCCGGAGTTTCTTGTTGTGGTTCTTTCTGGCTATCTGGTCCTCTGTGTGGAGCGAAGAAAAATGTTGATAAGAGTCTTGTAGTCCATTGAAAATGCTTTTCGCTACCCGTTGGCCAAGTTCCTGACCACTATAAAAGAACTGATTTAACATTGGTGTTTGAAATTTGAATTTTATTTTTTATGCTGAGTGCAGAAGATTTTCAGATTGATGAAGATCTGTCTTGCTGTCACGATTCTGGCTTTCACATCCTCATCCATTCCGTTCGCTCTCAAAGATTCGTAGTAATACTATGCCGCATCCGTACATTTTGCTAACATTTCACATCCCGATGCTTTATTTTCGCTTTTATCGAAAGAAGACACATTGGCTTACTGGCTTTCTTAAGGCTTTTACCATCCCCGATCATTTTGTCTCTCTCTCTATTTTCTATATTTTTGTTGTGTTTTGAAGTTTCTGTAGCGAATGGATTGATTTCCCAGAGTAGGTTTCCTAGCCCATTTCTCACGCTCCCCTCTTTTCCCGGGATTAGGATCGGCCAGGAAACTAGTGAATTGGTAAACTAGGCGGGGTTTTCAAGTATGCGTGCAACTTTGATCGAAACGGGTTTAGACAAGGTGAACTTCAGAATAGTCTTACTACTTGCTTTTGCGAATCCTAGTGCTCGGAACTTGTTGACCTCCCAATAATACCTCGTTAAGCATATAGTATTTAAAATTAAGTCTTACACAAATATTCATCTCAGAGTTTTTTTTTATTAATGGAGTTGATGACAAGTGAATTATCGTAAGGCAGATATGTTTGTGGTTGTAACCAGCTGCTTTAATGAGTTATCTGCTCAATCTTCTATTGAATGAGTTGTGAGATCCAGCCTGTAGGTCGGTTTCAATTTGATTTCACTTAGGAAGTTTAATCTAGCAATCATTTGAATGTTTGATAGGTAACCACTTTCAAATTAATAGCCTTACTTTACTTTTTCTCTTTCCGGTTTCAAAAGTGTTTACGCGTTAGTTGATTGTGGATTATGCCATTTTCGCCTTCTTTTTTTAATTGTTCCTTTTTATTTATTTTATTTTCGCTAAACAAAAATTAGAGTAATCGTTTTCAAACACGAATCGGCTTATTACAGTTGTTGTGTACTTGGTTAACGAACTGTTCTCAAGCAGTACACTATTTCTTGAACCCGACTAATTCAGGAGATATGTCAGGCTCTTTAAATAATACTACTACAGAATCGGTGAATCGTGGGTCATATTTATCAACTCTTATTGCTGAAGCATGTGCAGTGGATAATGATGAAAATGAAGCATTAGTTCGTGGGCTAACTACGCTTTTAATATGTTTATGCGTAATATATCATCCAGGGAATGTACATGGATTCGACAAGTAATAGTTATGTTTTTATGAATTATCCTGTGTATTTTTCTTTGACTATTTTTTTTTTGATATTATGATTTCATTATTTTCAAGTTTCGCGTGGGGCTAGCAAAATCACACCACTAAACCTATCAAACTTCTAGAGAAACTTCGACGCACAGAAAATGTATTAAAAATACAAAAACTTCAAGTAACAATTGTATTCTTTACTGGGATCGGAGAGGCGAAATGACGCAGCGGGCTGATGAAAGCCAGCCTTCCAAAGGCCAGTCAGTCGATGTGCCTTCTCTCGATGAAAGCAAGAATAAGAATGGGGACGTGGAATGTCCGTACAATGTACGAGACTGTGAAGGCTGCCCAGGTTGCCAAATGGCATAGAAATATTTCACTTGCTTCACGGTAATAAATATTTGACATCTAACTCTTGATTGAATTCAGATTAAATCTTATCAACAGTTTTAATTCACAAATAGAATACTGTTCAGCTAATGACTGTAACATTTAAAAATTTAGGAAACAACTAAATGTTTTTAAGAAAATTGTTTTAAGTATAATGAAAATTCAGGTTAAGGATCTCTGAAGATAATTTATGGAAATATCTATCAGCTTGATATGACTTTGAGTAATAAATTGTGCTCGAAACGTCATCAGTAAATATTACTATATAACACATCCTTATGTCTTGCGGTCGTTGATTACTGAGTTACTATTTAGAAATAAGTCTTTCCGATAAACAAGTTCCATGGACAGCTACTAAACTTTTTATGTGTGACGGAAACTCAAAAAATAACCACCCAAATGGGTGCTTTGAATGCGAAATTAGGACTATTAGACATAAACGCATAGACAGTGTTTTATATCCTACAGCATATCGAACCGGTGGTAATCATCATTTTTGCAAGATGTCTGAATCTGAATCATGCTGTTTGCTTTTTTAATGTTTTTTTGAAATTAATACATCTTATGGTATTATTGTTCATTGATGTCATCCGTGTTCTAGTCAGGCATGTGAGAGTAATAGTGTTCACAAGGAGTAAAATTCTAAAGATAAACATTGTGATCAAAATATTTTAGGTTCACAAAGGAAGTTACGGTGAAAGTTCACTCCAAACTCTATATAAATACCTTAATAACACATGATTTCATTCTAAATGAATTTTATTTCCACTTCTCGATTAGTATTTCCTCTTAGAAAATGATTGAATTTTAAAGTTAATGGGGAATTAAACGGACTATGAGGTCTAAACCAATCACCTTCAAGTTACTGAGCTTGAGTTATACTGAGTTAGTAATCGTAAACTACTGTTACAAGCACTCTATATATACCTGTGGACGTTGGTTAATCCCATTCTGTGAATCAACAAAAGTTACAATTAAAAGGTTTAAAAATAACTTCCATATTGTTTTCGCTCGAGTGACTTAAAACAATGGTTTCTACTTTTTGTAAGCAATACACTGAATAGCTATAGCCTCAGCGTATTTGAATAAGCGCCATTGACCATTTTTATAGATAACCTTAAAGGCTGAGTTGACATCAATCTTATTGTTCATCTCGATTAGATGTTTGGCTATAGACGAAGTTGTTAGTCTGCCACCTGCGTCCATTGATTTTCCACAATTCATTTGCCTTCCTAACCATTTCGGGATATGCTCTCCCACCCTCATATGCAAAGCGCTATTACTTCTCCCTATGTATGTGTGTCCACATACACACACACACACACGAAAATCGGTAAATAGTGTGGGATGTGACTAATTTGTTGGAAAATTCTGCCTTTTTGTTGTTTGATTTAGGTTGTCTACTTTTTCTCACTATACCTATCTCAGTATACAATATACGTAACTCATTGCATTCCCAATGGAGCATAGGGATTCAAACTTTCACTTTTGAAGTTTTAGTAGCGGTGATAGTATTTTTATGGAGTGAGATTGCTAGCTTTATCTGAAAAGACTGTCATCTAGACAAGTCAACACTTTTTTATTTATTAGATCACAAAGCTGGTACATTGTGGGCACTAAGAGATGCACCACACAAAATCTGATAGTTTTTAATAGGGCTGGGATACTATCCGGACGTCCACAATCGAATCAGGTGGTTGTCTTAAGAGATAATCCCGCGCTTATAAAATACGGTATTCCCAGTCGGTCACACATGCAAACAGTAACCGAAACCAACGTTGTTGAACTTCGTTGATCCGACGGGAACCAGTCTTTTCAACTTGGTATGGTCATTGAAGTTGTCATATAGTTTTGATTTAATTTATTGTTTTATACTTCAATCGTGTATAATTGATGTTCGTTTAGCCTTTTACGTAGTTTTTTTTCTTAAATTTAGTTTATTAATTTATTTTATCATAAATTACTAATATTATAGGAAAACAGTATTTAATACATTGGAAAAACGTATCGGTGTTGATATGATTTTAGAACGTTTAGGTCAAGTGTCTAAAGCTGAGTCGTTTGTCGCAGCCTCAAAAAAGCCTCAGAGTAGTGCTCAATCTACAGATGATTTAATATTCGATTACACGTTTACACGTTTGTTCAAACGATTAGAATGTAAGTTATATTCTTTTCCTTCTAGAAAAAATATAAACATTTTTCTTATTTGTCACAAAAATTTTCACTATGTTATAAATTTATATCATTGATGTAAGTAGGTAGTAAAGAGAGGGGGGGGGTATAATTTCACTTTAAAGTGATACCTACAGTTTTGCATTCATTTTCGGTAAGCCTTAGAGGTAATGTTTACGTATGCTTTAGGAAATTGAACCATTGTTATTACATTATTCTATTTCTTTTCACTTCCATATTGTATTGTTTTAAAATGTAACAACTTGAATTAATGGTGCTTTGCATAATGTTCTGTGTTGATTTGCTTATTGAAATAAATTAAAAGCTGTTGAACGTTATCAACTTAATAATTATTTAACACTTGCCCATTTTGTCATAGAAACAAAATGAAATAGTAACAAGTAGTGTTCTTATCTGTTATTCTTTTAATGTTGGCTGGTCATGTGTACTATCTAAGTTCTATCGATTAAATTGGACAAGGGATAATCATAATAGTTTTCAAACATTGATAAATTCAAGAAATGCCCCTATAAACGACCTGGTTTAGGCGGTGGATAGACTCCGGTCTTCCTCGTAAAATGAGTTGATGTGGCGAAACGTCCATGACCTCTGCCAAGTTACTACTGTTCACTGCCTTCACCCAATGGGGATGTCCCACACAAAAGTAAAAGGGCGAATGCAAATGTCAGGCACTCATAACCAATTCGGCTGACATGCAGGTCTACTTGAGGGAGCTGTAAAACCCTGATTCCAAACCTGTGGTGTACAGGGGCTCCAGAATTCAGAAGGATTGATTGGCGTATGAACCTATTTTGGTTACCAACATCCATGGTGTAACAGCAGAAGGCAAGACACAGAAGCAAAAGTATATTTCAAGTGATCAAACCTCTACTTATATAAATACAGTTTTATATTTTCTAACCAATTATCGAGCGTGTAATATAGGCTTACATTAAACGATATGGAATAGAATGTTCAAATATACATAGTTTTCTGTTGCTAACGCCAGTAATGAAATGTGGGAATAATGTTCTGACTCTAGCAACAAACATAATGCTCAAATATATCGTATTCTGTTGCTAATGCTGTAGTGAACTTTGGAAATATGTGAGAATAATATTCCGTTGGAACACATGGTCTGTGTCACACCATCACGATAGGACGTAGCTCCTGACGCTACTGCTCAGCCCTGTTGATCAGATTTCAAGTCAGGGGCTCGGAGAGTCGTCCCTTAAGAGGAGAACCATCTGTGTCGGTATGGGTGTCCGGGCAGTGTTCCAGCCCTCACATAATCTGTGAGATTTTATGTGGCTTATCTATTGGTATCCACAATGTGCCAGACTTGTGTTTCAATAAACAGAACTGGATTTGAGTAATACATAAAATAGATTGTGTAGGTGTTCAGCAATGAATTAGTTTCATCAGAGTACTTTTGTCAACAGGCTGTTTCAGTTCGAATAGATAACCAGTAACATTTCTGACTTCAGCAATAAGTGTCACTAATTCAATTCTAATAGTTACAAACCTAATGCTGTTCTACATAGCTTAATGTTGCCAATTAATAAACTTACCTCTGTATTCTTAGCTGGCCTTAAAGTTAATGAAGAATGGTCGTTATAACCACACAGGTGGTTCGCGCTTCGATCCCCGGCCGACGCACTTCCAAACCCCGCTAAGCCGGTAATAAGACTGGTAAAGAGGGAAAGTTGGTTACAAGGCTAGCAACCCTATCCTGTAAAAATAAACCCTACTGCTACTACAAATTCAAAGCTTTAGCTTGAAGCCCTATATTCCACTGTGAAAGTAAAGGAATAAAAGGATTTTTTAAAGTGATATATTATTGTATTATCATTGGTAGATCATAGAGTAAAGCAGCATTCTCAAGCTATCTCAACGTATGCCTTAGAAAATTTGTCGTTAAGAAATGAAATCTTTAGCTGATAAAATTTCCTTCATAAACAGGTGTCAAGTGCGCATCGCAATATACCTTAACGACAGGAATAGCAATTAGTTGTCCAGTGTTGAATAAGTACCAAATTGCTGACATCCCATCCAGTAATCAACCAGAAAAATTGATGGTTACTCTTTCTTCTTAGTACAGTATTTTAGGAGTGTTTTCTTTTATTTCTTCTTTCTCTTAGATGAAGTAATCCATATGTTCCAATCAGATGGTAGTATGAATGGATTAACCACTGGAATTTCACATGCTGACAACCATCGCAGTGGTAAATCCATAGATACGACGACAATAAGTAAACAACAGTATGATGAGAAGCTAATGCAAAAAGATGAGGAGATAGCTAGGTTACGTAATCACATTGGTGTATTAGAATCTGAGTTAAGTAAATGTCGTTCAGCAGTGAATAATGCTTCAACAGATATGCAGCGAAGTAACATGGTCACTGAAAGTCAAATGCAAAGTGAGTTTCTAGACACTTGTGATGATCAATTTTTGATTCATACTCCACTTTTGACTATTTGTCAGATAATTATGTGCTGATGCACTTACCCTTTTTACCATACATTGCCATTTTGTAAACTGGCTACCGTTTTGTTCATATATGGAGTAACAAAAAAAGAGACAGAACAACTTTAAATGCACAATTTACGTGACTGACACATTGAATACTAAACCACTCAAAGTCAGTGCTGTGAGCTGAGTGTATTCGCTTTATCACAAAATGTGATAAGAAATTAACAAATGACTAACTTTCAGCAATTTGCTGGTAGAGGTATGTCTCATTACAAAAGTTTAGCTAAGCTAATCTCACGAGAATACTACGTGAGATACTACTACTAGTTTAACGCATACTGCTTTGGCTTTTGTTGCACATCCTCCAGGATTAATAGACAGTAGCATCCAAATACGCAAAAGTGATGTGATCATTTTCACTAACAGTAATTTAAGGTATACTTCGATCGATCTTCTTCTAGACGGCTTACTTTACTATTAGGTGGTAAAGATCATTATTTTATTAACTCATTTCGGTTTGCTACACGGTAAAAAGTCGGGAAAGAAACAGAAACTTCAGGCTTCTAGCTTGAAGTTAATTGATGGATGGATGGTGACTAGCAGTGGAATCCAGTATGCGCTTGTCGGTTGGATGGGCCTGCATTTCTCAGGAAAACCTAAAATTGAACTAGCTTGAAGACCTATGTTCCACCGGGAACGTAAAGCAATAACAGAACAAAACATAATAAGTCACTTTTGTTCGATCTCTTATTATCAGGGATAGCATAACTCAGTTATAGTTATTCTGAACTACTTCATTGTTAGTATCTTGTCAACTGAATGTAACAAGGCCTTTTGAGAGGTTTTATGGCACAGAGCATGCCTTCAAAACCCGTATTAGCCATTAAAGCTGGGAACATTATCTCTTGGCTATTTACGTTGCAAATCACTTTAGGACTAAATTATCTAATGTCCCTCATATATATATATATATATATATATATATATATATATATAATTGTTTTGTTATGAAATTTCCTTTCAGAACTAACCATAAATGACAATACTATTCAAGTAAGTTTTTTGGTTTGACTTTATTAAGTTATGTTTTTACGCAGTAGAGTAATACTTTTCATATATTCACCGTGGCTTTGTTGCTTGTCAGTTTACAATGGCTATTCTATTTAATTATTTTTGATTTGAACAAGGAATACAAAGGTTAGAGGAGCTTATGTGATCTCTCTGAAATTTGTGTTCCATTGTGCTATGTTCTGAAATTGGGTGGTAAATAGAGAGTATCAGTAAACAATATATATTTTTGCAAGAATATTTTGTACATATTTTGCTTATTCATTACAATTGTGATTTTTAAGTCTTGTGTATATAATGTGTTAGAGATATTTTACGGCCATGTCGAAGGGTTTCATTTCAACGTAACACTCTTCTTTTCTAGGTAATCTAATTAGAGCTACAACAATTATCTTTAGAAAAATCACTCGTCAAGTCCACCAGTAGTCCTCCTTAGGTTATAGCTGTCTTACATTCCTTTCTTTCATCAATAAGTTCACTAGTCAGCGTTAAGAGATAGTCAACTTGCCTTTTTGTTAAGAGATTTTAGAAATAAAATCATTGTCCAAATTTTATTACTTAATGGCAATTTAGACGCAAACCTGCTTTGGGAACTCTCAGTCATTTATGCGAAAATATCTTCGCTTAAGATTGGTGATGCCTTGTAATACCATAAGATAATAATTACCTTCCTCCTCATTTGTTATTTCTAGGTAAAATTAGTCTTCTCTTCAACTTGTTTAGTTGGTTGGAAAGAATTCTCAATCTTCTTTCTTTCGTTATCAAAATTTATCAGGGGAACTGTGTGTATGAAAAGAATTTTTATTTGTCATTGATGCAAACTGACGAAAACAGTATAACGCAGTACTTTCACTTATTTGCATTCATTATCATACAGGCGGTGCGTCGGTGGTATAGCGGTTAGCACGCTCGCCGACCATGCATATGGTCCGGGGTTCTATCCCCGGCCGGCGCACTCCTTTACCTCACTGAGCCAGAAATAATGCTGGTAAAGAGGAAAGGTTGGGCATGAGGCTAGCGACCCCATCCTGTAAAAATTAAACACTGCTACAGAAACTTCAAGCCACTAGCTTGGAGCCCTATGTTCCACTGGGAACGTGAAGGAAAAATTATTTTATTATTTATTATTATCATACAGGGGAAAGGCCGGACAGTTAGCCGAAAAAAGTCAAGAGGAGTTAAAATAAACTGCATGACTGACGATAGATGACTGTAACAACTTCGAGAAAGTTTAGGAGAGAGAAATTCTTGTCTTGTCTTGCAGTGTGAGTGTGGTTGGTCTGATATGAAAAAGAAGCGGATTTATTTCATGAATTAATGCACAAGTCACGATATTTTACCTCAAAATAGATTGATGTAGCTAATTTGAAAGTTAAGCCGTTTCGAGAAACCGTCTTTAATTACTTATCCGAATGTTGCTGGTTTCGTAAATCTAGCAGTAACATAGGTTTTAAAAAATTCATTCGTTTGCGCTTGTGATCTCTCATTGATATTTTTGAAACGAATCGATCAGCCGTATTTCGCCACGTGGGCTTTTTGAATGGATGCCTCAATATTATCACTATTTCTAGCTTAGAGTTGCTTGTTTGATGATGCCCAGAAGTGGAATCCGTGAAACGCGTTTTTTCTGTATCCTATTCAGTTATGGTGTTCTCACTGAGACTCAGGCTCAGCATACATCATTTCACCGACCTATTGGATAACACTAGTATTTGAAACTATGGGTACCGATTTGCATCTAATTTTGAACACCATTCATTACACTTATACAGGTACATCCAACCGTCAGGTCCTAAGTAGGATGAAATGCACATCCTGGATTCCACTGCTAACCACCACCAAACAAATATTTTTAACACAGGCTATTGTTCCTCTACCCCTTTATTCTTCATCAACTACACTCACTAGCCTAAAACTATCACAAAGTTAACTGTTGTTTTACAATTTTTTTACTTTCTGAAATCATATCTAGAGTTTAGAACAGAAATGTTCAATGCTTGAGAAAGAACGTGACAGTATACGTGCTGAACAAGAAGATCTTTTATTACTACTCGCTGATCAAGATGCTAAAATAACACAACTGTGTAAACTTGTCAAAGATTTAGGTGGTTGTGTAAGTGCTCGTTTATTTTTTGTGCTGCTATGCTGAACTTCAGTGAAGATATTTTATGCCTCTATTGTTATAATACTTTCATTTGGTTATATTTAACAAATAATTGTGTAGGAAATTAAATTTTCTGAAAATATTTTATACGTATTGGTTAGACTAATACAAAGTTTAAATTATGAAGCTATTTCGAAACTACTAGGAAGATAGTTCAGTTTCTTTTTCATTTTCGAATGGTTTCTCATAAGTGCATTGGTCTAAGTATATCATATAGGTGTGATCTGTGGCCGCTAGGCTAAGCAGCAAGATTGTACTATGTATGTACTGTAATGGTGACTTAGAATATGCAGAAGATATAGTCCTTTTAGGCGAGGACGCTGACAAAATGCAGAGTCTTCTGAACACCTTGAGCTGCAATCTACGAATGTTTGTAAGATGATGTTACAGGACTGGACTACACCGACTCCTAGATTAGAAATAGGAAGTGAAGTGGTAGAGCACGTTGACCGCTTCACTTATTTGGGAAGTACCATCAGCCAGTGCCAACGGGTTGATCTCTGACGAAATCTCAGCTGAGTACGTATACAGAGGACTAGTTCCGCACATGCCAGTTTACTCCATCTCTGGCGTAGACGCGATATCCGGCTATCGACCAAAGGGCGGGTGTACTGCTCATCAGTCCGCTCCATCCTCCTTTATGTCTGTGATACCTGACCATTGAGGGTGGAAGACATGAAAAGATTAGCTGTCTTTGATCATAGGTGCCTGCGTTCGATTTTCCGTGTGAAGTGGTATAATAAGGTGAGCAATATTGAGGTTAGAGATCGGTTGGGAGAGTTCTAGGTAGGTGGGAGGGGAAATCATTCGACGAGGTTGTGAAGTTACATCGACTGAGATGGTTAGGACATGTGTTACTCATGGATGCCTAGTCATCGCCCTCCTCGACCGACGGGCAATGATAGCTGACATAGGATTGGGCAGGCTGGAAAAGAGCTGGTCAAGCCAAAACATGGCACCAGTCAATGAAATCCACAACAGTTAGTTTAAGCCAGCCGCATAGGAAGGTCCTCGGGATGGTAAAAGTCAATGGTTGGAAACAATTGGTGATATGGCTCAAAATCGTTCTCAGTGGTTGGCGCAGATACATCCACTCCTTGTGACTTATGATTTCCAATGAAACTGTTTTGTTCTTCGTTATTACTATTCCTTTGTCTCACATCTCTGTTTACTGTCTCTATTATGCATTTCTTCTACTTTTGTGTCTTGCTTTGTGTGCTACATTGAGGGAGTGTGTCAACTCAAACTGGTGCACATCGGTGCAAAGTTCTATGTCGAAAACAGACAGACAATAACATGAAATGTGACAAAAAATTAATTGGTTATATGCTTTGTAAAATAGTTCATGAAATGTATAAATGTCAAACGGGATGTAGAAATAATAAAATCAGTAAGTAATAAAACACTACTCAACAAGGTGATGATTATGACCAGACAATATTACAGAAATTATATTGAATTAAATAAAGATGACAAGTGAAATTAAACATAACGGTCGGCATAACAAGGGTATACAAAGTGAAGAAACAAAATGAAAATGCGGCGAATCGAATTGGTGCACATTGGTGCAAAGTTCTATGTCGAAAACAGACAGACAGACTGTAATGGTGAGCTTAGGGCACAGGGCTTTCTGCTCAAAGATTTCTACCATCTAGCATCAGAAAGCAGTGGTGCATAACAGTGTACATTGTCGTGTCACCTTACTACTTGGTGATTACAGTATATAGATTTAATAGATAAATTTCTCCTAACTCACAGTATTGGAGAACAACACTGGCTGTCATTTGGTAGCTAATAATTTGTTTAAGATTGAAAAGTTGTTTGGTGTTCTCCACGCTTTAATATATGATCGGCTTGTTTGATTAATTCTGTTTGTCATATTTAACTATCCGTCGTATATTCAGCTTTTACCAGCAGTTTTAATATCTGCAACTTAGGTGAAGGAAAGTCATAGCTAAATTGTCTTGTAAAGGTATGTTTTCACTGGAGATGATTATAAACTGGAGGTCAGTCTGACTATTAGTTTCCACGTTTGACCACAGGTTAATGTCAGTTAGAGAACCATTGGAAATCAAAGAGTACTGGACAGCTGTTTCGTCCTATTTCGGGGCTCTTCATCGGTATATGTATATATATTCAATATTGAACTTGAAAAAATCAAATTCTCACAAACTAACTCATAAGTATTAGATTTCTCCTGATTTATTATTAGTTTTCAAAAAAACTTGTGGGACATAAATTTGTTTGTTAGTCTTTAAACGTGTAACGTTCTAAAATAAAAATGTTCGTAAGTTTTGCGTAGTCTAATTAATTACTCTATGCTTTTAGGTTTTATCAAACGTATAAATAGCTCACTGTTATTATTACCGTACTTTTTGTTTTATCTCCAGATACCTGACGATACTGAACCGGCTGCTAACACAGAATCAAAACTTCCAGATCACCATCAGCATCAGCAAATGACTGACGAGAGTACAAATCAGTCATTCCGTACATTTCGTGCTAATCAATCTGATAAGTTAGCTGCGCTATCCGAGTCGTTGAATACTTCATCACATGGTGTTTACAACTCATATAGCACTAATAATGCGTCATCAAATTCTGGATCATTCGCAGCTTATCATCCTTTTGACACCTCTTCTGGCTTCAACAACAACAACAACAGGTGAATATGATTATGAACAATTTCCTACCAATAATTCACATTCACAATCATTACCCTGTTCAGCAAATTATTTACCAACCCGGCTAGTTATTTATACCTGACTGAAAGTTCTTACACAATAGGAACATGTCAATCAGCATACTTTACCTAATTCTCTGATGGAAGATGATGACCTTTCAAATTTGTTTCATATATATATTTTTTCATATTATAAATTTTGTTTTAAGTATATTTTTAGTGGGACATGGATATCTTTTAGGGAATCTTTCGCATCACCTGTATCATATAAGTGATGGTAGTGAAAGGAGGATTGAAGGCGAAAGTACGAATATCAACAATATCCAGTGATGTTGAATTCTTTCAAATTTTCTTCTTTTTCTGTTAGTATGTAATTTACTGTGATTTTCAATTGTTTGTGTATTTTTGTGCTTCTTTTTTGTTCAAAACATTTTATATTGTATTCATATTATCTGCCTTTTTTTGAAAAGAATGACTAATTTACTGTATTTTATGTTTTTATAGTATCAAAAAGTGAAGGAAAATAGTCCAAACGGGTGTATGTTTGTGTGAAGGAAAGAGAATGGAATATTTCTTGGAATGAAAATATGGTGATAAGGGTCTGAAAGTGGGGTAGAATGGAAAATAACAGTAAGGTTTTTCTTTTCATACGACTGAAGAAATCATACTTACTGTCAATCCATTCTAAGAAAAAGTTAGTATCAACACCCAAAATGTATACTCTGACTTGCCCCATGTCGACTAATAACCAGTTGTAAGTTCATTCATATAAACAAAAATTCACAAATTCCAATACCCTTAGACAAGTTGCTTTTAACCAACCTAGAGTATGCATCCTAATAGCTCAGTGTTAATGAAAAACTAATTGTCTTTCCCGTACTCCAAATGGAAATCAACCTCGACTGTAATCGCATTAGCCAATAAAAGTCATATCTGTTCACCGCATTTACTCTATTTTGTCTATTCTATTCCCACCATTTCTTGTTGCTGCTAATACCATTTCTCATTCAGTTCTCTTTTCTCTTGACTCTTCGATCATTGTTAACGGTTTGAGCGAGTGAAACATTCCTATCCTAAAAACTAGTCAACTTCCTATTAGCGTTTCTAATGTTTAGACTGTAAGCTAGGCTTCATTAATCGGATTCTGACTGGTTAGAATAATTCTGTTTTATAAAATATATAAGAAAGGGATTACATGTTTCTGTGGTAATCATCTCAGGACGATCAGATTGTCTAATGAGATGCAAACCAATCAGTTGATGAGAACTAGAAAAAAACGAACTGAGTTTCAGACTTAGACTAATCAAATGTCCGCACCTTGATGTATTTGACACACACACACACATTCCTACAAGCACCTGAGTTTGTTATATTTCTTCAAGACACAGCGGTTAAGAGATGTTGCATTTAACTCTTGGTTGAGAAAGTATACTGCTAGTCAAGGAAATTTGCTTGAATTTAAAGCATACACGGTTTTCATTACTGCTTAGTAAAAATCTAGCTTTGAAAATATTAGCAACCACAATTTTACTCTACAAATATCCATCTTTACGATATATTAATTGCTCTTTCCTATTTACAAACTCATTAGTAGGCTTTTAGTTTAGTAAACTTTTTCAAAGCATCCCTAAGTTTCTAAGGTGTAATGGATCTGTCTGCTATTAAAGATGTTCTGTTCAATAACAGCAATATACTTCCTGAAATTTAACCTTTCGGGAAGCATTTGCATTACTTAGCAGTAGCTTAAGTCAATGTAGAATAAAATAAGATTATATTGTTCTCTTGGTTTGTATAGAGTGATTATGTTCATTATTAGTGAATAAGATCTCACATAACAACAGGATGCCTACTTCAGAGGTAAAGCACGTGCTTTAGTCTTTTAGAAAGCAGAAGGATTAAGCGAAACAATATTTACTTTTCAATTAGATCCTCATTTCTGGCTCTACTGTAACATATATAGCATTTTTATTACAATACGCAATAATTTACCAATCAAGTGGCCTTTTGTTAGGGAAATAATATTTCAGAAACATTTAGTCATAGTTCAGTGACAAAATCATATGCTGTTCAGTAGCCACATAAAGGTTCAGGCAGTTGGTGGACCGAATTTATTGTGTCAGCAGCGGTGATATTTTTTTGTAGTTTTCCAAAACGTCAGTAAACAGTGTGGATTGTGAATCAAGATTAACTGCAATAATTGTTAAAATACTACATTGATCAAAGTTGTCATACTCTGGATTGAAACACGTGTGGATACAAATCAAGTGTTATGCGAATGCATATGAACAACTACGGATACCCATTCGATTGGAGAAATGTATATACTTAAGACAATGGAACGTTAAGAATGGTAGAAAATTTCCACATAATCGGTACTCAGATTAGTCTGCAATCAAATGCGAGTGTTGACTCAGATCAGTTTCAATGAAGAGGTTTTATGATTGATACGTCAGTTGTCAGTTAAGGCCATCATCACGAGAGACCGTTATTTCTCTCGCTCAGAATATCAGAATGCAATCTTTATCACTCCCTCTGAAGTTGAATGGTACGACTTCGTCTAGTATGAAAATAAATTAAAGGATGTTTTGGTTCAATGATTCCCTGTTTCAAAGCAGTTTTATACAGCTGAAATACAAAAACTTATTTATCTGGTACGTATATACAATTGTAGAGGCTAAAGAGGAAGTTATCTTCTCTTGGTCCACTCCTAGTTGACTGCTTCATGGCGAGTCTCGAAAAAAACATCCTCGATCCTTTGATAAGCCTACTGCACCTATATAACAGATACGTTTACAATTTGTGATGAAACGTTGATTTAGATTATCTCGTCAAAACCTACAACGCAGCACACCCATCAATAAAATTCGGCTTAGAATATGAATCGAACATGGCATTCCCACTCCTCGATGTACTACTTACCAGAAGACAAGACTGTACGCTCCAAAGAACGAGAAATTGCAAGCCAATATGGACGGAACAGTTTATCAACTTCCAGAGCTTCGTCCCACTGATTCGAAAGCAAAACCTGTTAAGTACATTAAGTCCAAGGATTAGAAAAATCTGTTCGGAAGATATGATAGAGAAAGAATTAAATTTATAATAATAATAATTTACTTTATTCCAAAAACAGTACTAATGATACAGCAAGGAATTTTCAGCATTCAGTACAATATTGCATCTAATTTACTCAAAAACGACAAAAAAAAATTAAAAATACACATTACATAATAGTAATAAAACGATTGTTATAGCAGCTACGTAGCAAAATACTGTATGCCATACGGAGAAAAATATGTATAAAGTACAAAATTGTAGTAATAATAGTAATACCAACTAAAATAAAATAGCAGAGTAACGATTTAAACGATAGAAAGTGTGACACCATAAAATACAGAAAGATGAACGATAAAAGGGTCGATTCACTGTGCTAATTACATAGTAACTTGTAAGTTTCACGTCTAACAGAGTCTTCGTCACATAAAGTACGCGCTAAATAGGGTATTGTAGAATTTCTATACTTAGTAGTACGAGCATATATCTTTTTATATTGACTTCTCGTCCTACCTGATGAGATACAAGGGGACAGGTGTGAATAAAGGGGGTGCAGAGGGTCTGACATTATAGCCTTTGCCCATTTCGTACAGGAATTTATATGCCTCTCGACTATAGTATTAGCGAGCTCATGCAGTGGCAGACCACAAGCTCTACTCACAGCATTTAATACTCTTCGTAATATGATATAATCTTTTTTGAGAGGCCCAGGAAAGATTAATGGAGAGCAGTAGAGTACAATAGGTAAAATACAGGAGTTTAAAAATTGCAAAACTAAAGGTTGGTTGATACCTGATTGTCTTAACTTTTTAATGTAGAAGGTAAGACGAAACATTTTCTTAGAGATAGATAAGATATGGGATGACCATGAAAGGTCAGAGGAAAAAACTAATCCAAGGTATTTAATGCTTGATTTGGTTTCAATTTCCGTGCCATCTATGCTACAGGGATCATGCGAGTTAACTAGTTCAAGTAAGTCACGTCGATGCTTGAAAGTAAAGTCAAGCACCTGACATTTGGAAGGATTTAATATAAGACCATTTGACTTGGACCAGTTGTTGATGTCCAACAGAAAGCTATTAAGTTTGGAGCTGTCAGACTCGGAAGTGATAGGCAGTGATACAGTCAGATCATCTGCATATTTGACAAAGTTAGTTTCGTTTGAATGAGGCAGGTCATGTAGGAAGAAAGAAAAAAGAAAAGGAGAGAGGACAGCACCTTGTGGAACACCGGATTTTGTAAGCGAGGTAGAAGAAGATTTGCCGTTATATACAGTATACTGCATTCTATCAGAAAAATAGGAATGCAACCAACTCTTAGCCCAGGATCCTGTTTGTGTCAACGATAGCTTATTTAACAAAAGGCCCCTAGGTACAGAGTCAAAAGCAGATGTGTAGTCTAAGAAAGCACTACGAACATATTTAGCACCTTTGTCTAAACAAGAGACAACATTGTGATATAAGACAACCGCAGCATCCAAGGTACTTCTACCATGTTTGTATGCAAATTGTTTAGGATCATTAAAAGGTTTCAAAGCGGGTTCAAGACGAAGTAAAAGTAATTTTTCCATCAATTTTAAAAAGGGGGAAGTAATTGCAATAGGCCGAAATTTAATATCAGAACCAGAAGATGGTTTTGGTATAGGGATAATTTTAATGTTTTTCCATGCAAAAGGTAGAACGTTACCGGAAAAAGAGGCATTAAAAATGTTAGTAAGAGGATAACACAAAATATCAGCACAATTCCTGAGGACAATGGCAGGTATGCCGTCAGGACCAAGGCTTTGAGAAGGCTTAAGAGACCGGAGACATTTAAGCACATCAAGGGTATTAAAACCACTAAAGTTATTGTCAATATGATTTGTATCATTTGGAAGGGTATCAACAGAAGAGCGTATGAAAGATTTATTAAGAGTGTCAACATTAAGAGATGGAACAGAAATACATCGCTTACCGTTAGTAATTTCTTTGAAAAGTTTCCATAAATTAGAAGGGGTTTTACATGACAAAAATCTTTGATTATATAAAACACTTAGTCTTTTTATTTCCAGTTTTATCAGAATGTTTAACTTTTTTACACCAGGCTTATCATTAGTTTTGAACAACAGTTCTTTATTTCTACGTAGCTTTTTGAGATATGGCGAAGATAAGCGATCAAATCGAATGAATAATGTTTCTTTAGGACAACATATTTCGAAACAGAATTTAAGATAATCGGTAGTGTTTGTGATTGTTTCATCTAATGTTTGTTCTGTAAATAAGTCCCAGTTAGTGTCTTTCAACATGCATCTGAGCTTGTCTAGGTTGTCTTTTGAGTAGCATCTCCGTTGAACTTTACTGTAGAGGTGAGAGAGGACACCTTTGTGTGATTTGGAATATATTTTAGGCAGTACACGTATGATGCAGTGGTCAGAATTAAGTAGAGGAGC